TCAGCCTCCTGAGTAGCTGGGATTACAGGCACACGCCACCATGCCCAGCTAATTTTTGTATTTTTAGTAGAGACGGGGTTTCACCATGTTGACCAGGATGGTCTCGATCTCTTGACCTAGTGATCCACCAGCCTCGGCCTCCCAAAGTGCTGGGATTACAGGCGTGAGCCACCGCGCCCGGCCTATTTTTCATTTCTTAAATCACCTATACATACTATTGGCCATAAACATTTGGAGCTTAAAGAACTGGTATGTTCAGAAGCAAAGGAAAAACACTATGTGAAGTGAGGCTTATCAGAATTGACTACAGGAACAGACTCCTGGAAAAGATGGTAGCCACACAACTGAAAATTTTATTTGCCCACAAAGCCTAAAAGTTTTCATTGAACTTGACGAATGCCAGAATAATACTCACCTTATTTATTCATATTCTCTTAAGAATGCAGGGCGGTGGCTCACGTCTATAATCCCACCACTTTGGGAGGCCAAGGCGGGTGGGATCACTTGAGGCCAGGAGTCAACACCAGCCTGACCAACATGGTGAAACCCTGTCTCTACTAAAACTACAAAAATTAGCCAGGCGTGGTGGCACATGCCTGTAATCCCAGCTACCTGGGAAGCTGAGGCGGGAGAACTGCTTGAACTGGGAAGTCAGAGGTCGTAGGAAGCTGAGACTGCGCCACTGCACTATAGCCTGGGTGAGAGTGAGACTCCATTTCAAAAAAAAGAAAAAAGCAAACATCTCTAGGGAGATTAAAGCTTTATCCAACAATCACATATTACCAGCAAAATAAAGTACTTGAGAGGTAGGGCAGCAGGCCTGCGCAAAGTCCTGAGCACAGAAAGGCTGAGGCACAAAAAGAGATGAACGAAAATGCCAAAGACAAAATGTAAAATGTGTCTCATTTAAAAGGTTATTTAGGACTGACTCTCTGTGCTCAGGAGCAGGGGAGGAAACATTCTATTCTCTCTCTTGAAGCACAGGTCCTTTACTCCTAGGACCAGAAACTCAGACACTGCCACACTGCAGCTGCGATGTACCAGTTGTGTGAGCTGGCCTAGGCATTTGACAAACTCTTAAACAGTTTCTGCTCTCAGAAAGTGTTTTGAACGCATTTGTAATTTAGGGACAGCATGGATTCAGATGACTCTAGGTTTGATTTGCTAGAATGCCTCACTCAGCTTTAGACTGGAGCACACCTGGAAGAAGGCAATCAGTGTGGTCAGAGGTCTGAGATCTCAGGCTGCAAGGAATAGTTAAGAGGCACTATACATTTATTGCTTTAAAGACACCACACATTCCACTCCCCCACCAAAAGAAAAGTTTTGGGAGGGAAGAGCAGTAGAGAGAATAGTAACCATCTTTCAGATTAAATTTACTCCTAAGTGTCCTATGGGGTAGAAATGAGAGAGAGAGATTTCAGCACAAAGGAAGCAAGAGCTTTTCAACACAGATGTTGTTGAAAGAGTGCTAAGACCAGATGAATTTTAGTATCTCACAATTCCTATCTGTACCTCATAAATCCCACATCCTTCCTGCGACCCAACTTTCCTGTCAAGTTTTTATGTTATCTGCTCCGGGATTGCTGAAATGTTTTGGTTAAACCAAGAGCAATCTAAAGTGAACCCAGCCCCTCACCTGCATTGCCAGATCTAGGAGTTCCTTAGAAACATGTTGATTGGCGCCTTCCAAGTTCCGGACCAGGTCACCAGCAAAATTGCTGTCCTTGGGAGTGAGTAGGGTATAGGCTACACCTTTCTCACCCGCTCTTCCTGTGCGGCCAATCCTATGTGTGTGGGTATCAATGTCTCGTGCCACATCATAGTTAATGACAGTCTTAATTGAAGGAATGTCCAGACCACGGGCTGAAATAAAAAGCAACTGAATTCTTTTATTCTTCATCTGTAGTCAAAAGATCAAAGTAAACAGAAATGCTAGTGCTCTAAGAAGTCACATTTCCCTTATCTAGGCAAAGTGCATGGGGAGTTTGGTGAGCTGAGATACAGGCATGTTAAGTCACCACTCAAAAACAAATGTCACCACCATAGATTCTATGATGCTAGGCCTTCTAGTGTAAGGGATTTTGCATTAATAATCGGGCATGCCCTCTTCTCTTGCACTGGGAATGTATTTTTAAAATGTGTCTTGAAGCTGAGTTCTCTCTCCTTTCTGTGAAAAATTACCAATGTTTAAGGGTAGTTATTAAAACTTGGCAGAACAAAGCCAGAAATCATATTCCAAAAACTCTTCTCATCCTGAGTGAAGTATGCCCAATTAACCTGTAGACAGTAAATCAATGTAAAATATCTACTATATTCAGACATACAATAGGGCATTCATTGCCTTTTTTCCCCAAGTGACTTCTAGCTGTAGGGATTCTTTGGTGAGAGAGAAATACTGTGCGAAAAGTGGCATCCAGAGCTCCAGACTGATCCCTGTGCTGACTGCTGCTTCCTTGGGGATTGGGGTGGGAGTGGTCAGTCAGGCCAATAGTCTTTCCATCAGACTGTTCAGACATTACAGGTCTTATATAAGACGACACAGTACCCTTATAGCCTAGGAACTTAAGGTTGTTGAAAAATTCATACTCTACCTGCAACATCTGTGGCCACCAGGACTGGGATGTCCTTTTTCTTAAAGTCTGAAATGACCTTATTTCTCTCACTCTGATCCATGTCCCCATGGAGCAGCCCAAGATTATGACCCTCCTGCTTAAGGTTATTGGCTAGCTCTTCAGCATTGGCCTTCTTAGTAACAAAGAGGAGAACACTCCCTGAAGAGGTAAACTCCACCAGACGCCTGGTAAGCCAGTTCCATTTACTAGGTCCAGAATGGAGAATCTCCACAATCTGTGTCACATCTTCATTTGCCTAAGAAGGAAGAAATGAAATAGATGATTGTGACATTGGAGCCACAGGCCGCCACCTCAACAAGGCTAGACATTATATTTTCTACCTGCAGCAAGAAGATCTAGAACCATCCCAGTTCTCCGTGGGCGTTACTTCAGCAAGTCAAGTGCAGCTCAAACTCACCTCTCCTTTTCAATCACCTTGCTCTCCACCTAGTATACATACCTAATTTGTACAGCCCACTACTTTGTAGAGCTTTCCTTAACAATAATCATGCCAAGCAGTTGAAGGATTCTCTAAGCAGCCATAACTGAATTCCAAGTCCCAATTCAGAGAAATTTTCCACATAGCACATATGTCCAGGTAAGAAATGAAACCTGATTTTTGCCAGGCCTTTCAGGTCACCCTGTCCCCGCTGTGTAGGCCTCCTCCCACAATAACTAAAACTTCAGTTCCAACCTAACACACAGTAGTATGCTTCCAGGAAGATCTTTTGGTTTTGAAGCCTTTTTTAAAAACCAATTATAAAGTTTTAAGACATTCACACAAATAAAAGCAAAATGAACAAAATCAACTCGTACCCATCACCTAGCTTCAATGATTGCCAACATTTTGCCAGTCTTGTTTCGTCTATCCTCACAACTTGCAAAACAGCAAATCTCAAACATGTTGCCTCATCTATAAACATAACATCTTTTTTTTAATCTCAATAGTGAGAAATTAATTCTGTGTTCCATAATATGAGAAATATACTCATTAAGGTCCCATCAAGCCCTGCTTAGTTAGGGTTACCTCTCCAATATCTCCCTGTACCACTCGAATAGGGTCGATCAGGATGTCTCTGGCCAACTTTTCAATCTTTTTCCGAAAAGTTGCACTGAATAGGAGAGCTAAAAGGTAAGATATATTCCGTCAGAGAAACAATATGTTATCTTTATGAACATCCATTATGTTTCTTTGGCATTCAGGATTATGCAGTTTTATTTACATAAGCTCACCCCCCCATCCTGGCCAACACGGTGAAACCCCATCTCTACTAAACAAAAATTAGCCGGGTGTGGTGGCACTCATCTGTAGTCCCAGCTACTCAGGAGGCTGAGGCAGGAGAATCACTTGAACCCAGCAGGCAGAGGTTGCAGTGAGCCGTGATCACACCACTGCACTCCAGCCTGGCAACAGAGCGAGACTCCATCTCCCCAGAAAAAAAAAAAAAAATTGATTTACTAGAGAAAGATTTGGTCTTATTCTATTTTTATTACATTTCTAATTAAGAGAAGTTGTCATTATGGTTCAGAAAAAGACTTCTGATTTCAAATCAGCAGATCTGTACTGTACACTGCTTCTACCCACTGATAAAACTATATAATTTAGGGCAACTCATTTAATTTCTGAGCCTTGGTTTTATCATCTATAAAAAGGAACAAGTGGCTGGGCACGGTAGCTCATGCCTGTAATCCTGGCACTTTGGGAGGCCAAGATGGGCAGATCACCTGAGGTCAGAAGTTCAAGACCAGCCTGACCAACATGGAGAAACCCTGTCTCTACTAAAAATACAAAAATTAGCTGAGCATCATGGCAAATGCCCATAATCCCAGCTACTCAGGAGGGATTACAAGTAGCTACTGAGGCAGAATAGCTTGAATCCGGGAGGTGGAGGTTGCCGTGAGCCAAGATCACGCCATTGCACTCTAGCCTGGACAACAAAAGTGAAACCCCCATCTCAAAAAAAAACATAAAAGGAACAAGTTATATCTAGTGCTCTCTAAGATCCTGTCCAGCTAAACTCATTACCTCCCTCATTATGATTCTCACCAATACACACGATAATTTTACTTCCATAACTCTGAGTGCTTATAAGAGTCCTTTTTAAGTTCAAATTTGCTTTAACAAAGGTGCTTCATACATACTCTGTCTGTCAGGACGAACATGACTTGCTATGGATCGAACCTGGTACTCTGGAAGAAGCAGAACAGTAAAATTAGTATTATAACCTGAAATACAGTTTGGGAAGCCTGAAAAAAGCTGTTTCAAGTCTACACAAGAAATTATAAGAATTAAGGAAAATTAGAAACTACAGGCCAGGCATGGGTGGCTCATGCCTGTAATCCTAGTACTTTGAGAGGCTGACGCGGACAAATCACTTGAGGTCAGGAGTTTGAGAACAGCCTGGCCAACGTGGCTATCTCTACTAAAAACACCAAAAAATTAACTGAGCATGGGGTGGGCACCTGTAAACCCTACTACTCAAGTGGCTGAGGAGAACCACTTGAACCTGTAAGGTGGAGGTTGCAGTTAAGCCGAGATTTCGCCACTGCACTCCAGCCTGGGTGACAGAGTTGAGACTCCATCTCAAAAAAGAAACAAGAAACTCCTAGACATATTATTCAGCATAAAACTGAAAAACTTTCCCTCCATCCAACCGGGGTAGGTCTAGCACTGTTCCAATCATTAAAGATAGCTATGAAGATAGGAAAACAAAGGGCCTTGAATGATGTGACATTCACCTACCCGAGAATACAGAACTTAACGTCTATGATCAAAGACATATGAATAAAAATAAAGACAGAGAAAATATTCCCCTTATATACAAAGACACTTTGAATTTTCTGAACCCAATAAAACCTAACATACTTGTCCAGAGAAAACTCCTAAAAATGTTTGTCTTAGCTATTACACTTCTACAGTCTAACCCTATCCAGGAGTATTTTTAGCTTCTCTCATGCTGAAAAAAAAAAGTCTAGAAAGACATGGAAAAAAAACTAATATTATGAGGATGGAGACAGAAGAAACTGGTATTCAAGGCATACCAAATCCCATGTCAAACATTCGATCTGCTTCATCAAACACAAGGTAAGAGACTCTTTGAAGATTGGTAGCTTTCTTTTTCACATGATCAATCAGTCGACCCTAGGAGATCCACAAAATGAACAGCAAGTATAATTATAGGCATTCACAGGGACTTTCTAAGCAGTTGTACTCCTAGCAAAAGTGCTAATTCTCTAGTCTCAGACTGTAAGATACTGGTCCAACAGCCACATTATGCACTTAGCTCAAAAGAATAGAAATTTTGAAACCTCAATTGGCTTCTTCCTTGACATTGTGATTTAAATTCTGTGGGAAAGTGGGCAGAAACATTTTTTGAGACATTCTAAAATGACCTGATTTAAAGGATATTGACAGGTTTTAATGTTTAAACTATACTCTTCTAGGCTGTTCTGACCATATAAATCTTTCTGATTCTTGATGAACTTGGTAATCATTTTGTGGGAGAGCATAAGTAAAACTATTTGACATAGAGGGAATTTGTAGCTACTAGCCTATATGTCACAAAGACTCTTAATGGACTGCTAATTTAGCCACCAAAGTGAAAACCACAGGCTGCCATTCATCAGGATATTCTCAACTCTGCTTTACCACATTTTAGGGGAAATTCCCTGCAAAACTAACTGTGTTTTCCATACCAAGGGAGGCTGAGAAGCCATTTAAACAAAAGGCATACTCACTGGGGTACACACGACAATCTCTGCCCCTTCCTGAAGGGCCTTGGCCTGCTCCCACATACTCCCTCCTCCATACACGGCCACTGATCGAAGATTATATGCTTTTCCAAACCGCTTACACTCTGCATGGATCTACAAAGTTGTTAATAATATATTAACAAACTGTGACAATAACAAATATCTCTGTCACAACCCAAATGAAGCTCCGAAAAACAGAATGTGATGCCATGCTTTAAAATCATGGCTTTATTCATAAAGGTATAAATGAATAAAATACCATTATCACATCTCAACAGATTATCTAAAATCTTACCTTACTCATTTTACCCCCTTTTCTTCCTGATCCTGTCATTGTTTTTCTACCAAGACAAATAAATTCACCCTACAGAAAAACTGTCAGCTTATAATACAGTCTCCATATCACAAGAGATTTTTCCTCTTAAAAACAGCAGTTTTGGTCAGGTGTGGTGGCTCACACTTGTAATACAAGCACTCTGGGAGGCCAAGGCAGGCAGATCACGTGAGGTCAGGAGTTAGAGACCAGCCTGGCCAACACAATGAAACCCTGTCTTTACTAAAAATACAAATATTATCCAGGCGTGCTGGCAGGCGCCTGTAATCCCAGCTACTCCAGAGGCTGAGGCAGGAGAATCACTTGAACCTGGGGGCTGGAGGTTGCAGTGAGCTGAGATCGCACCTGGGCAACAGAGTGAGACTCCAGCCTGGGCAACAGAGCAAGACTCTGTCTCAAAAAAAATAAAAAAATAAAAACAAACAGTAGTTTTGGCCAGGCACAGTGGCTCACACCTGTAACCCCAGCACTTTGGGAGGCCGAGGCAGGCAGATCACTTGAGGTCAGGAGTTCGAGACCAGCCTGGCCAACATGGTGAAACTGAATCTCTACTAAAAATACAAAAATTAGCCGGCTGTGGTAATGTGCACCCATAATCCCAGCTACTCGGGAGGCTGAGGCAGGAGAATTGCTTGAACCTGGGGGTTGCAGTGAGCTGAGATCATGCAGCTGCACTCCAGCCTGGGCAAAAGAGTGAAACTCTGTCTCAAAAAAAAAAAATAAATAAAAACAGTAGTTTTTAAGGGAAAGTACATATTTGGTTATACAGAAAATATTTAACACAAAATATTTTCCAAAACTTCCTGGCAGCACAACACTGTGAGTGAATATACTTAATGCCACTGAACTGTACATTAAAAATGGTCAAGATAATCAATTTTGTGTGTATGTTATTACAATTAAAAAAAAATTTCCTGGTCATTCTACCTCACTTCACTGGCTGGTCCCTAGCTAGTCCACATATGGAAGAAGGCATTCTATTGAAAGCACATACCTGCTGGCAAAGCTCCCTGGTAGGACACACAATCACTGCAATTGGTCCATCGCCTGGTTCCAACTCCTTCTGGTCCATTATATGAATCAACATGGGCCAAATAAAGGCTGCAGTTTTCCCACTACCTGTTTTGGCAATACCAATCATGTCTCTACCACTTAATGCCACAGGCACGCCCTGGAGAAAAAGTAAAATATAACCACTCTAAAATTTCAATTCTAAAGATGTACTGAAGCAAATCTGGGGGAAGGATAAATGACTACTAATGATATTTATTTGCAATGGAACAAAACATATCCTGGGCAATGCATACCAGTTTTGAAATAGAAATATTAGTATCTGACATTCTCATGAACTTCTTGATTTAGAGAAAATGACATCATTTTTGTTATGTGGATGTCAGTCACCATTTACAGAATAGAAACAACACCGTTTTGCTTAAAATATAGGCGGCTCACACTTGTAATCCCAGAACTTTGGGAGGCCAAGAAAGGCAGACTGCCTGAGCTCAGGAGCTTGAGACTAGCCTGGGCAACACGGTGAAACTCCATTTCTACTAAAATACAAAAAATTAGCCAGGCATGGTGGCGTGCGCCTGTAATCCCATCGACTTGGGAGGCTGAGGCAGGAGAATTGCTTGAACATGGGAGGCAGAAATGGCAGTGAGCCAAGACTGTGCCACTGCACTCCAGCCTGGGTGACAGATCGAGGCTCCGTCTCCCCGCCAACCCCACACAGTTTTTTTTTAAACAACACACACAGAAAAATCACAATTTATAATGAAGGGTTGCTAAAATGTTTTAAACCTCCCCCCCTTGAGAAGGTACAGACTATCTCATTCATATAAAGAAAATGAGAATTTCCTGCATAAGAATGAATAAATCCCGTAATGGGAACAAGAAGCTAAAACTTTCAGTAATGAATGAAAATTTTCAGGTCACAGACAGAGGAATTCTAGTCATTGACAGTGCTAAATACGTCCATATACAAACCTTTTTGGTTAGGTTTAGGCCTAATAAATTATTTTCTTCATATCGTATTTTCAGATACAAAAGAATATTTGCCAGCTATTTAGTGACTTCTTAGAGTGATAAATACCTCTATCCTTATCAATACAGTTCTACACTAAACACTGTTTTACTGCTGTGATTTGTTTTTAAAATAATATAGTCATGAAAGATTATCCTACTTTATTTTCCTTGTATTATGCTGTACTTACCTGGCACTGTATTGGAGTGGGCTGTGTGTATTCAGATTTCCGAATCTGGTGCATAAGTTGTTCATCAAACCCAAAATGAGCAAAGCTACTTCCTGGTCTAGGAGGTGCAGCACCAGAGACCTAGAGATAAAGACAACTCCCCAGAGTGACTTGTACTTCAACATTAACAGCATTTGAAGTTCAAGAATACTTACCTGGATCTAGCATTTTACTTGGAGTATGAAGTGAAAATACAAGTCTATAAGCCAAAATCATACAATGAAAAGGCAAAACCTCAAATGGTAACAAATATAAACCTCATATTAAAAACTCCACTATAAATATTGCCAAGATAATTGTCATATAATTTTAAATGATTAAAAATCTCTTAAATCAAAATTTTCTCATAACATAAGGAAAAAAGAAAAAACGTGGTTCAATGAATTGGGAAGTCATTAATGTTCTTTCTTTTGCCATTTTGCATAAATATTAACCAGATGGTAGGAAAAAAAAACATATCAGCCGGGCACAGTGGCTCACGCCTGTAATCCTAACACTTTGGAAGGCTGAGGTGGGTGGATCACCCGAGGTCAGGAGTTCAAAACCAGCCTTGGCCATCATGGTGAAACCCCATCTTTAACAACAACAACAAAAAAAACCATATCTTATTCTTGACAATTCCAAGTAGGCTCCAAATAAGACAAATCTACATATACTGTCTACAAAGATATAATCTGCCGCCTCCATTTTCAGCTATGCCTGATGAACTACATCTCACTTACTGATGGCCCAGCCACTGTGAAGCACTGTTGAAATGGTACCCAGGTGAAGAATGGAGCTTATAACTTTCATTTTGTCCCCAACAGTGGTAACCTTTGATTGATTTTCTGGTGATGCTAATATTTCCAGTCAGGATTTCATGGATTTTACTTAAAAATTTTCTTGAGGCATTGGGAAGGTGAGTAACCTCGGAAAACAGACATGCGTACACACACACACACACATACACATATTCCTCCTGGAAAACAGGAGTTTAAACATTGTGTAGCAACTTATAAGGTGCACACAGGCAAAAAAGGTGTCTATACTAGAGTAGATAGCATAGCATAGTTTTTCTGTGTGTTTCATTTGAAATCTACCAGTATCTTAAACCAATGTGGCCAATGTGCAGCCCAAAACTTTTTGGTGGACAATTTAAACCATTCTGAAATTAGTATATGCATGTTTTCAAAAGGTATTAATTTATTCTAATTTTTAAAATAAAGCATACTACCTATAATTTGATAGACAAGTTTACCTTAATTTCAAAACATTCTAAGATATCATATGTTAACATCTATTAATCTTGTTTCCTTTTCCTTTAGATAGGGACTCCCACCCTTCATCACTAGCCCATCCAGCACAGAACATACAAAACTGATTGACAAATGAAAGAAGAAAATGATCCTATCCTCAAACAGCATCTAGAAGACTAAAACAATCAAACTAAGAGACATGAACACATCTAGAAGACTAAAAAATCAAACTAAGTGACATGAACACAGGGGATATAATAATTACTCTGGCAAAGACAGTTCAGAGACCATTAGAAAAGAAACTCAAGGTTATTAGTTTAAATAACCAATAATACTCAATCTAGACTAATTAACATTAATAGAAGAATATTAAGCTTAATGATTTCTTACCCGAAGATTGAGCTTATGGCGGAGATCTATTAACTGCTGTGGAGTGAGGTTGGTTATCTCTTCATGCTCATTGTAAAAATTTTTTTCAAATGGTGGATAGTCAATCTGCAGGTCCAATTATTCAAAGTTAGTCTAGAATTCAAGAGTCAATCCTGTAAGTTTGATTTTAATGCAAAATAATATTTTCCAAATATTACACAAGTAAAGCCATTCCAGCTAGAAAGAGCAACAAAAATTAACCTATTTTCAACGTAGATCCTAAAAAGTACAGCTAATTTGTTTTCTATTCCTATTTTCAGTATAAAGACCAACCTACTTCTTTTTTTGTTGTTGAGACAGAATCTCATTCTATCACCGAGGCTGTGGTGCAGTGGTGCAATCTTGGCTCACTGGAGCCTCAGCCTCCCGGATTCAAGCAATTCTCATGCTGCCTCAGCCTCCTGAGTAGCTGGGATTACAGGCATGAGTCACTGTGCCTGGCCTAACACCAACCTACTTCCTAAAGAGACTCTTAAGGAAACCTCGAATTTGAACAACCTTGAAGCAGACTAAGGATTTCTATAATACCAACGACCTCAGAGGACAGAGAAGATATTTCACCATATGACATTTAAATATGTTTTAAATTTAGCTGTTTAACCTAGCTCTAGGGATTTAAAAACACTCCTAATATTTCTTTTAGAGGTATCTCTGCTTTTAGAAGGAGTTCTATTCTGTTTAAAAACATGGAGTTGTTTATAACTGTTAAAAAATGTATGGCCAAGCATTGCCAATTCCAGAGAGAGTAGAAGTCACTTCTATTATTCTTTTCATAGCTTACTGTACTAGGGATACAAAACATAAGCACATCGCTACCTATCAATTTGGCTAAATGATTTTTTATAAACATTTTTTTCCCCTAGGCTTGTCAGTCAATAAAAACATTTTTTTTGTAAGAGACAGGGTATTGGTATGTTGCCCAGGCTAGACTCAACTCCTGGGCTCAAGTGATCCTCCTGCCTCTGCCTCTCCAGTAGCTGGGACTCCAAGCATGTGCCACCATGCTTGGCTCTTCAGCTTATTTTTAAGAATATTAACATTCTATAGGCAGTCAAAAAACTTGTAATTCTGGATACATCAAAAAAGTTGGTGAGAAAAGTGACACTGTCTTATATTTTCGCAAATCTCTTTATTAATGTCTGACTTAAATAACTCCTACTATATTCAAATTGTTGCAATAGCTTGGCTTTATTTAAGCCTATAAGAAAATCTGGCCTCCAGGCCTGGAGTAGTGACTCATGCCTGTAATCTCAGCACTTTGGGAGGCCAAAGGTGGATGGATCACTTGAGGTCAAGAGTTCGAGACCAGCCTGGCCAACATGGTGAAAGCCCATCTCTACCAAAACTACGGAAATTAGCCGGGTGTGGTAGCACGCGCCTGTAATCCCAGCTACTCAGGAGGCTGAGACAAGAGAATCTCTTGAACCCAGGAAGAGGAGGTTGCAGGGAGCCAAGGTCACGTCACTGCACTCTAGCCTGGGCGACAGAGCGTTTCACCAAGCCGTCCAGGTTTGTATCAAATTCCTGAGCTCAAGTGATCCACCTGCCTCAGCCTCCCAAAGTGCTGAAATTACAGACGTGAGCCAATGCATCTGACCAAAAGCTTGAATGTCTATCATTGGTAATAAATACTTTCAATTGTTTTCCTTGAAGTGTCATTGATTTTGTCCAATGAAAATCGTGTTCTATGAAAAAAAGTAGCTAGTTCACCTTACAACTCAAACACGTAAGGGCTTTTCTTCAAAAGACTATCATAGTTTGGTACATAACAGAAATGCTTTATGCGCACTTTCCATTTTATCGCACAGAATAAAAAGACATGTAGTTCAAGGGTTACAATTTAATAATTTTTACTGTTTCATAAGGACATTCTTTCTTTCTTTCTTTTTTGAGATGGAGTGTTGCTCTTGTTGCCCAGGCTGGACTGCAATGGCACGATCTTGGCTTACCACAACCTCTGCCTCCCAGGTTCACGCGATTCTCCTGCCTCAGCCTCTGGAGTAGCTGGGATTATAGACATGTGCCACCACACCCGGCTAATTTTATATTTTTAATGGAGACGGGGTTTCTCCATGTTGGTCAGGCTGGTCTAGAACTCCCAACCTCAGGTGAACCGCCCACCTTGGCCTCCCAAAGTGTTGGGATTACAGATGTGAACCACTGTGCCCAGCCATAAGGGCATTCTTTTTTTTTTTTTTTTGAGACGGAGTTTCGCTCTTGTTGCCCAGGCTGGAGTGCAATGGTGCGATCTCGGCTCACCGCAACCTCCGCCTCCTGGGTTCAGGCAATTCTCCTGCCTCAGCCTCCTGAGTAGCTGGGATTACAGGCACGAGCCACCATGCCCAGCTAATTTTTTTTTATTTTTAGTAGAGACGGGGTTTCACTACGTTGACCAGGATGGTCTCGATCTCTTGACCTCGTGATCCACCCGCCTCGGCCTCCCAAAGTGCTGGGATTACAGGCGTGAGCCACCGCGCCCGGCTCCATAAGGGCATTCTTAAGTGAAACTGGCTTTTTTCTTTTTTAACTGCAATGGTCTGACAGGAGAGAATATGCCTAATAGAATAGTTCGGTGCCAATGGCTTGATTCATGCTAAGGCATCAGCAGTTTTACTTATCACTGCTTTTACACCAACAATGCAAATGTTGATGCAGTAACAAAGGAAAATAATCTTGGTATGATAAAAATTGTTTGGACTTTGTAGGTTCCCTGGAAGGGGTCCTTGATCCACACTGAGAACCACTGCTCTAGCATCAGTGTATCTAAGATCTCTGCTGAAATTTAACCTGGATGAAAGACTGATATTTTTTCAAGTGGGTATACTGATGTCCTCATTCCTTAAGGATCCTGTAATTACTGGTTCCACTTTGAAGACACAGCCTCTCATCTGCCCCAGATCTGGGACCAAGAGTAAAAATGCATAGCAATTTTAAAAAAAGTGCAGATGGGTGCAGTGACTCACATCTATAATCCCAGCACTTTGGAAGGCCAAGGCAGGTGGATCACTTGAGGTCAGGAGTTCAAGACCAGCCTGGACAACATGGTGAAACCCAATCTCTACTAAAAATACAAAAAATGGCTAGCATGATGGTGGGCGCCTGTAGCCCTAGCTACTTGGGAGGCTGAGGCAGGAAAATTGCTTAAACCCAGGAGGCGGAGGCTGCAGTGAACCAAGAATTGCGCCATTACACTCCAGCCTAGGTGAACGGGCAAGACTCAGTCTAGAAAAAAAACAACAAAAAAATAAATGCAAGCCAGGTGCAGTGGCATGTACCTGTAGTACTAGCTACTCAGGAGGCTGAAGTGAAAGAATTGCTTGAGCCCAGGAGTTTGAGGCCAGACTGGGCAATACAGCAAAAACAACAACAACAAAAAACAGTAAACACAGGCCCAAAATGTTCCCAGTTTGAAAGATGTCACAGCCGCGTGCAATGGCTCACACACGTAATCCCAGCACTTTGGGAAGTCAAAGCAGGCAGATCACCTGAGATCAGGAGGTCAAGACCAGCCTGGCTAACATAGCATAACCCAATCTCTACCCAAAAATATTTTTAAAACATTAGCCAGGCGTGGTAGTGGGCGCCTGTAATCCCAGCTACTTGGGAGGCTAAGTAAGGCAGGGAGAATCTCTTGAACCTAGGAAGCAGAGGTTGCAGTGAGCCAAGATCATGCCACTGCATTCCAGCCTGGGCGACAGAGAGAGACTACGTCTTAAAAAATAAATAAATAAAGATGTTAAGTATTGATTCTGGAAAACAAGTACAATTATTTGAAGAAAAAAAAAAGTTTTAATTCCAAAGTCAAATGTAAGTGATTCGGCTATACCTCAGAGCAAGATAGGCTATAAAGCTTCATGGAATTTGTGGCTCAACCACTTAGTAGAGACAACAAGACGCATATGCCCATGATTAAGAATACTCCACTACTGGGAAAACCTAAATGTTAAAAGTTGAAGAAAATTGTACTGGCATGAAACAAGAATCAAATTCAGCAAGAAACACCATACCTCTGAATGATCGATGGGGGGAAGTGGATCAATGATTTTTTTGGTAGGTGCAATCGGATTTCCATCACTATCATATTCTAGATTGTCTTCCTCTTCCTCCTGAACCACACCAGCAGTTGGGTTTTCTGCCATGTATCGAAAATAAGCTTCCTGCAGGAAAGCACAAGAACATAATCACACCCAAGTACAACTGAGATATTTCTGCTTCTGTAATTAGTGCACACAGTGTACCAGATGACTGCACAGTTACAATACCTACCAAGTAGGGCAAGACCCTTCTAGTAATGATTCCTTTAACAGTAGCAATATTCAGAAGAAATCAATTAAACAGTACTACAAAATGATGTAACTTGTGTAATAGAAGATTTACAAATCTGTCTCTTCCACAGCCTTCCTGGAGTGAGGTGTCTATCAACCCTGCCCAGAGCCATAGAACACATGCTGTGGATTTAATAATCCAAGTTTAGAAGTTAACACTAATCAGAAAGGTCACAAACCTGGAAAGGGCTACCACTCACTGATTCTCATCATTCCACAACTGAACAATGGGGAAGAAAATACTAACAGGCAGTAATTAATGTTCCATCTTGAAATACAAGAACCACAAACAGGACTCTTACTAAGAGGTAGAGGTTAGATGTTACCAGAGGTCATCAGTAGATCCCATACTACTCTACTACTTGATTTAACAGAATAAACATTAATTTTGGATTTAAAAAGAAGCAAACTGAATAAAGCTCACATTTGCTTTTGATGTCATAGTTGATGAAAAATTCCATCTTCAATATAAGGGAAAGCCATGTGAATCTATAAACTACCAATTGGTCACATAGGTACAAAAGGAGCAAATCAAATGACACTCCCTGCTGAATGTCAGGAATGGCCATTTCAAGTGAAGGCAAGCTCTAGCTTGTCCCCAGTATAGACTTTGCGGATAAAAATAAAAGATAGAAATACTGCATAGGAACTCACTTGGTCATCTTCCTCTTCAATGTCATCTCGAATACCCCTGGAAAAACAAGCGGAGAAACAAACTTCCCTGCAAATGTTCCACATACCCAGCTCCATACTTACAGCAGATTAGTGTCGAATTCCATACAGCACAGGAACTCTCAACACTAACAATAACAAAGCAGCAATGAGCACACTGTAAACTATCCACCCATTATATATATGTATAGCTTCACTCTATAATCTGCAGTTTGCATTTCTTTTAAATGGGATGATATGCTACCCCTGGAAACAGTAGTTACTAACAAGGTAATCAGACATAAAAACTTTCTGAAGACAGATACCAAATGATCCTAGTTTTGTGAATCCATACAAAAAATGCGGTTGTGAAAAGCATTTCATACCAAAAAGAAAAAAAAATTCCTGCATTTGGCATATACTATAAAGAAGGGCCCAGCCTTCTTATTGTCTCCAAAGTTTCTAGCTCTAGGATAAACAGTTTTCAGCCAAAAGCAGTTACCTTAGGGATGGAGACAGAGAAAAACTACATTAACTCCTTTATGAGTTTGGGGATAAAACTTCTAAATAGTTCACATAAAGAAGGGGGCCATTACCACCTGCTATATCTATCAGGAGCTATAGGGAAAGTATCATTGCTTAGTTCCCACAACCATCTCTTTGTAATCAGACTTTCTGCCACACCTAGAGCACTTGCTATTCCTAAGGCAACCAGCAAACACCACCACCAGTGTAGAGCAGGTGGAAGGGATACAACATACAGTGAATACCAAAAACATGGCTAAACCTCCATATAGCACAGGAACGCTGGGAAGGGACTGAAGCCCTAACTGCCAAGCACGGGGAGAAAAAGTCCCACTATGCCGGGGAGAAAAAGTCCCACTATGCCTGGTAGAAAAAGCTTTAGGAGTTTATTAATCAAGGTACAGAGGAGACTTTTCTTTCCCAGAAAATAAAATACTTCAAGCTCTGACTATGGTTGCTAAAGCACGATGTCACTCCCTAAATGAAATTAGGTATTAGGTATTACTACAGCCCTCCTTCTACACAGGTTTTTATACTGTGAATATTATTTTTCCATCTGTGTTGGTTGAATAAAAACCCCATAAGTGAACTCATGCAGTTCAAATCTGTGTTGTTCAAAATTTCAACTGTACATAGTTTTCATGATATAGTTGCCATTACTTCTCATAATCAACCATATAGGCATTAACCTATTTTATATTAATTATGAGACAAACTCAGAATAACGAGCCCAAACTTTAGTAATCATGCTCCCCTAAACTCTACTATAATTCATTTCTGTGTTTACTAAACAACTACTTACAGTCAAAAACCAAATACTATTCTACCAAAATGAACACTTTTTAATTATTGCAAATGTGAAGACTGTTGCCATCTCTATTTTTAAAGAAGTATTCAAGATATAGGAATAACTTCAAATAAAGACACTGTGTACTTCAGTATTTTTTCTTTATGAACTTTGGGGGAATAGGCTTTGCAATACTTAAGCAGTTTTCATGTAACCTTTGTGAGGAAGAAGAAAACAACTTACTTTACGTTTTTTCTTTCTTTGTCCTTTTCTTCAAGCCTCTTCATGTCTCTAGCTGCCTGATCCTAATGAAACAAAAGGCTGTGTAGAATCACATCAACTAAAAACACTGAAAGAAACAACTCTTAGATTGGAACAAGTGCCATAATAGCTTTAGCTATGTGTTTGACAAGTGCATTCTGACACAATCAAATTGCATTTTGACAATTATTTTTTAAAAAGAAATAACAAAATGCTCTAACATGGCTGTATATGAACTACATGATTTTTATCTGTAATAATATGCCACTCATGGAAAAATGAACAAAAATGCTTGCTTCACAAATACAATCTTTGGTTGCTTTTTATAAATTAATGATAAAATTACAGATGTAAAGTACTTTTAATTCAGGCAGATCAGCTTTCCTCAAAGTGTACCTTAAGACCTTATACAACTGACTCTGGAAGGGTGGTTCTCAACCTGGGGCAATTTTGCCCCTACGCAACATCTGGCAATGTCTAGAGATATTTTTAATTTGGGAGTGGGGTACAGCTGAGGCTACTGGTTTGCAGAGGCCAAGGATGGCTGCTAAACATTCTACAATACACAGAATAGCACCACAACAAATCCAGCACAAAATGACAACATTCTCAAGGCTGAAAACACTGCTCTACACCTACTAAATCGGAATTCTTGGGGCTGGAGCAAGTTAAATATATGTAGTTTTTACATTTTCCCTAGGCAATTCTTATATACCACAAATTGATGATCACTGATCTAAATTAATCATTTGTATTACACATTTAAAAATCAAGGTCAGAAGAATTAAGTAATTTTTCCCAAGGTTATACACATTCTGCACAACTTTTTCTCATTATAAAGCACCACGAGTTTTTCCAGCAATCTCAGATTTTTAAAAAATGCCACTAAATATACCATGGCATGGTTGAGTGTTCTATCAAACCAAATGTTCCTGATAAAGATAAATTGTTTTAAAGAGAAGCATGGCATACAAACAACCTACTTTTCAGAGGACTGAACCAGCTATAAGACTAGAAACTGAAGATGATATAAGCAATGTAACATAAGAAACAGGTCACCAACAGTGGTAGAACATATTGTTTAAGCCTACATAAATCTTTTTTCAGAACACTGGCTAAAAATAAATCACCTAGTTCAAGCACTAGAAAAGTTTATACTTCCTATAAAATTTGATGGCCTGGCACAGTGGCTCATGCCTGTAATCCCAGCACTTTGGGAGGCCGAGGTGGGCGGACCACAAGGTCAAGAGACAAAGACCATCCTGGCCAACATGGTGAAACCCCATCTCTACTAAAAATAGAAAAATTAGCGGGGCGTGGTGGCGCATGCCTGTA